ATATATCACGCATGTACCCCGGCATTCTTTACGGATCTATATATCACGCATGTACCCAGGCATTCTTTACGGATCTAGAGATCACGCATGTACCCCGGCATTCTTTACGGATCTAGAGATCACGCATGTACCCCGGCATTCTTAACGGATCTAGAGATCACGCATGTACCCTGGCATTCTTTACGGATCTATATATCACGCATGTACCCTGGCATTCTTTACGGATCTATATATCGCATGTACCTCGACGCTCTTCTGGTTATATTATGAATTACAAATACCTTAACTTTGCGCTTATTTTCTTTTTTCCTTCTATCTAGATATATTAAATTATAATTATATTGTTTATTTCCAACTACATTTTCCTTCATTGTTTTTATTCGTGTCTCTTTTATAGTATTTCGTTGAAGATGGGATATGCTTATTCTGAAACTCCCCCTACAAATATAGCGGTATTTAAAGACGATGTTCGTCATATCTGCTGGGTTTCTTTTTCTTGTTAAGTTAAGATTTTCTCCCACTGAACATTCTCTTATATCTTATTTCTAAGAAAGGCGTAACTAGCTTAAAAGCAACTGAAGCAAACTGCCTCTGTTATAAATTTTATTAGTCGTAACTTCATTTAATTAAGAATGTATACTTTATTATCATAGACTGGAATTGTTTACTTCCGATTTTATTCGTCAAAGCTTTCGTACATCCAACACCAATAAAGAATTCGTGTCATCTAAATGGGCAAAATACGCTAATATATATTGATGTTAATAGAAAGGCACAGCATGATATATAAGAGCAGCTTTTAACATATCAAGTCAGAAACCAAAAACAAAAGGGGGAATAAACGAATCTTGATTCTATTGCATGTCTAATTTTTTATAGACTCCCAAGTAGTGGATCAGCATTGAAATTGAGATACTGGTAGTAAACTTGTAGAATGGATCAGCATTGAAATTGAGATACTGGTAGTAAACTTGTAGAATGGATCAGCATTGACATTCAGATACTGATAGTAAACTTGTAGAATGGATCAGCATTGAAATTGAGACACTGGTAGTAAACTTGTAGAATGGATCAGCATTGAAACTGAGATACTGGTAGTAAACTTGTAGAATGGATCAGCATTGACATTGAGATACTGATAGTAAACTTGTAGAATGGATCAGCATTGACATTGAGATACTGATAGTAAACTTGTAGAATGGATCAGCATTGAAACTGAGATACTGGTAGTAAACTTGTAGAATGGATCAGCATTGAAATTGAGATACTGGTAGTAAACTTGTAGAATGGATCAGCATTTAAACTGAGATACTGGTAGTAAACTTGTAGAATGGATCAGCATTGACATTGAGATACTGATAGTAAACTTGTAGAATGGATCAGCATTGAAATTGAAATAATGACAGTAAACTTGTAGAACTTTTCAGAGAAGACAATCAAAATCTGAAGCTCTTAACAACTTTGTTTTTCCCCGAAATAGCTGAAGATTGGACAAGTGTATTTCTATGAATTTTAAGTGGCTGGACATATTATATTTAGTTACTTTGTTTGATTTCCCATGTCTCTTGTTCCTTCCTGTTTCCTCTTTCCGCTAAACAAGTAAACTTCCCTTTAGTGTTAAACATCTGCGAAAACCACTGCTTCCCGTGATTTTGTTTAAGATTACGTGGTTAACGTTTTTCCTAGTTTTACTCCGCTTGCAGTTTCTCTCCGATGACGGAAAGTTTACATTACGAAAGCCATTAGATGTATGTAATTTTTATATAAGCATACCTGCTTTTGAAGTGTATCGAACATATCTTCATCAGCTAGAACCAAATCAGGTAAGTTCTAATTCTTAGTATAGGATTGTAGGTCAGACTACTCTCTACACGAATGCTTCTCTGCATTTTGTTTTTCACAAACACTTCATTCGCTAACTTTCAAGCTCATCACTTAACCCCCTTTAAACTATGCCATCAGCATGAGTTATTTTATAAATTATCTTATTGTGGAAGATCTTGCTTAATATATTTTGGGGGATTTGTACACCTGTTGTGGATGGTGTTCTTTAATATATCCAGTAGGGATTGTACTCATTTTTTGGCGAATATGTTGCTTATTACCTCTGTGAGGAGGTTAGACAGGAAAACTGAATGGAGGTTTCAAGCTGAAACATTTATTGTGGTGAGGTTTTTTTTAGTTCTAAAAATGTATAAATAAATAAAAACAGAAAATGTTAGAAGATGCTGTTTAATTTGTTTGGGAGAATTTGTACTCCTGTTGTGAAAGATGCTGTTGTGGATGGTGTTCCTTAATATACCTGGGAGGGTTTAAACTTATGATGTGGATGGTGTTCCTTAATATACCTGGGAGGGTTTAAACTTATGATGTGGATGGTGTCCCTTAATATACCTGGGAGGGTTTAAACTTATGTTGTGGATGGTGTTCCTTGAAATGTCTGGGAGGATTTGTACCTCTGTTGTGGAAGATGATGCTTAATATGTCTGAGGGGAATTTTACTCCTTTTGTAGAAGGTGTTGCTCAATATTTTTGGAAAGATGTATACTACAACAGGAGTACAAATCCTCCCAAACAAATTAAACAGCATCTTCCACAACAGGAGTACAAATTCTCCCAAACAAATTAAACAGCATCTTCTACAACAGGAGTACAAATCCTCCTAGACATATTGAGGAACATAATACACAACAGGAGGGTAAGTCCTCCCAAACATATTAATCAATACCTTCCACAACAGGAGTACGATAAATACATCGCTTACACTATCGCTAGATGTAATTTCACCAATCGTGAGATTCATCTGAACTTCTGTGGTGACTCAAATTTAACTTTTAACTTCATATATTTCATTGCTTTGACCTCTTTTCATTGTACTTATCTTCCAGCACCACTCTAGCTTGAAGTAGTTTATGTCATGTTTTATTCTGAAACTTTTTTGTCTGTGCTAACCTATCCCAACTGCTACTTCTATGCATATTTAGTCTTATGCGCTTGCTCTTACGATCAGCACTTTCTACTACCTTACTTTTGGAACTCATAAATCTTTCTCTGTTGACTATGTCTATCCGTCTTCTACAGTAATAACTCTATTTAAACTCAACTAACACAAACTCTCTTAGTAAACTTCAACTTAATCACTAATTAATTCTGGGCTTTTTTTTTCCTGACTTGCAACAACATTTTTGTTTCTTTGTCTTCTAATATTCAATAATGTGGTTCCTAATTAAAACAAATGCTCATTAAGTAACCTCTTCATAACAATATATATATATTACAAACATGCCCAATTTATTAAATTGAAAGTATCAATCTTAGTAGGACCACATAACCAAACCAATGACAGATAGCATCAGCTCACAATTAAAAGATGCTGCATGAGAATTCTTACAGGACACTGTCAATAACCTTTTTCCAGAATCATTATATTTCTACAACTCCCGAAGTTGAAGAACAAAAAGTAATCGTTAAGGTGTTTCTATCTTAATAAAGTGAACCATCCCTTTATGCTATGGTCATGCTATTTTACCATTATTTTAGTACTCCACTCTTCTCTTATCCTTGCAATATTCTTGCAGTTCACCCAGAAAAAGTCTTTGTATTCTCCGTTCCTTACCTGGTCTTGAATTTTCCTCCTCGTTCTGCTCTCATCCCCATTTGAAGGCAAGTCGTCGGATACATCCGTAAATTTAACGCTTCTGTACACGTACTTTTTTTGGGGCGCTTAGCAGCAACTCTTCCGCCGAAGCTTCTCTGGCCTCTCTTACGGCTAACATTTGGAGTAACGATGTGCCATCGTGATTACATTCGCATCTGTTACACTTGTAATACCTCGGACATTTTGCTACTTTACATTTGCAGGTCAACTTTAAGTTCGACTTTGTCCCTATTCTGGCTTGTTGTTTCAGCAGTTTCCAAATGTTTTGTAAAATCTGTCTGAATTAGGGTAAAAAATCATCCAGCTCTAATGACAAAAACATATCATAATTTATTTGGAGGTTATTCAATCATAGCTCGCCCTAAACTTCTGAATTCCTCATAAAATGTTGCATATTCCTGTGCATTTTCAAAAGAAGAAAAAAAAAGAGACTAAATGCCGGTTATGGTTCCTGCAAAGTGTTCTAACATTTCTTCTGCCGTTCAGTCAGAGATTGATTATTAATACAAACTATTTTATAATCTACTGAATGCATAGATATTTTATATATACGTCATTAGTTCGTTTTACTCGCCTAACTATAGATCCTATAGGAGAAGAATTAATATCAATTTATAGATATTTTACTTGTTTGTCATTAGATCATTTTACTCCCCTAATATACAGATCCTAAAGGAAAATAATTAAGATAAGTTCATATAAAGTCAGTTGGATCCTTGGTAGGTCTTATTAGAAAAACTTAACTTCAATATCATACCGGACTCAATATACCGGATAAATATACTATTTTTGTCATGTTTGCTTATTTGCATTTAGTTTATTCCTATAGCAGCAGCAAAGTTAAGGCTAACCTTTTACTATATTTTATATCTTCTAGAGCTTACTTTTCAAAGTCATGCAAAATGAAACTATTGTTTAGGAATTAGTTCATGTAAGATTTAAAAAAATAGAACAAATTTTTTTTCTCATTAATGTCGTATTTCATTACTTTTGATATGCCCCGGTGACTCAGCTGTAAGTATCGGGGCTTATGACGCTAAACATTGGTGGCCAGAGCACAGATAGCCCATTGTATAGCCTTGTATTTAACAATAAACAACAAATACTTTTGATATTAAAATTAAACAGAGGTCATTACACTTGCAACCGTACATGGCTGACACCATAGTTAATTATGACTGGAAATTATGAACGCTTATGAGTTTGAAGCACAAATTTTAGAGTCATGTAAAACCGTTAGGACGTGCCTCATTAGTCATATTAAAGTACAAAATCTCCCCGAAAAAATGCCACACAATTTTAATAATTACTGGTAAAATACGATTTTATTTCATTTGTTTTTGTTAAATGTATACAGGTGTAATATCGTGCAACTTTAATTATGCAGAAATTAACACAATTCACGAGGGATCGAAATGGGAAAAAATGACTTAGCAAACCTACTTTCTAAAACTCGAGATTAACTTTGGCATAGTTTACAAACTTTAGAACCTCCATACGTTTAAACAACTGCTAAAAAATGTGGAACAAATCTGTTTGGTTGGTTATCTTAGAGGAAAGCCACATGGGGCTATCTGCTGTGTCCAACGGGAGGAATCGAACTCCGGATTTTAGCGTTGTAAGTCCATAAGCTTACCGCTTTTCCACCGGTGGTTGGAAAACAATGTCTCGTGGTGAGATGTCACATAAGAAGTTTCCCGGTGGAACAGCTGTAAGTTTATTAACCTACAACGCTAAAATCCGAGGTTCGATATCTCGTGGTGGACACAGCAGATGGTCCAATGTGACTTTGCTCTAAAACAAAGTCATTGTTTGTTTGTTTTTTGTTTGTTTTTTACTTATGCACAAAGCTACACAGGGCTATCGGTGCTCTGCCCACCACGGGTGTCGAAACCCGGATTCTAGCGTTGTAAGTCCGCAGACATACCGTTGTGCCATTGGGGGGCTAAACAAAGTCATGTAAGAAAAATTACTACAGTAAATACGAGTTCTCATGCGAGAGTTTGAAAACTGAAAGCAGTAATAAAAAAAGGATTACTTTTTTGAGAAATATTGGTTGGATTATCATGGCTTAGAATACCGGGATATTTTAAATGAAAACATTCTTTGTGCAAGAATAAAATGAAAGAAGCATTCGTGAATTTTTCGGTAGAGCTGGACAAAAGTAATATTTTTACACGACGTCGTAAGACTTGACAAATATAGAATATGTGCACTTGTTAACACAGTTTTCTAAAATTAGCCCCCATTGGCACAGCGGCATGTCTCCGGGCTTACAACGCTAAAAACCGGGTTTCGAGCAGAGCACAGACACCCCATTGTGCAGCTTTGTTCTTAACTCCAAACTCATACTTTATAGTTTGTAGTTGTAACATTTATCAGGTTAACGCTTTTAACATTAACTATTAAAAGAGTGTCATATGAAAATCAATAATCGAAAAAGCTTATTAAGAATGAAATGCAGTATTTGAAAATATATAATAATATTGTAAGAAATGATAATAAAAAAAATGTAGCTCAAATGTTTTATTTCCTTTATTTGTTTTATTTCCAACCAGCTTCTAAACATTCACGAACCTTTTGGAACAGGCAAAAAATGACGTCACCTGCTTATCATCTGTTGAACAAAACACTTCTCTAACGCAGAAGGTGAAATCCGTTTTAATAGTTCCACATTATTATTGTTGGTTTATATTTTATTAGACAGTTCGATCGTCACCTGCTTATCATCTGTTGAACAAAAAACTTCTCTAACGCAGAAGGTGAAATCCGTTTTAATAGTTCCATATTATTATTGTTGGTTTATATTTTATTAGACAGTTCGATCGTCACCTGAAACTATGTTTAAATGTATTTTATATATACATTTAATTTATGATTTTTAACGAACACCTACGCAATCACTGATTTAATTATCCAGATTATAGTTTCTATACAGAAGTTGAGTACATCATATTGAAATTATTTAATATCTCACTACGTCGTCACAACGTGAATCTTGAAAATAGCCCCTCAACGTAGTTTCCATTGTAAAAGACTCTATATGTAAGGCTCAAATAACACTCTCCTCCATGCAGCTTTTCATAATCCATTTAGTGTATCTTTTCAGCGTGTGTTTCAACAATCCTACCGTACAGAAATACATTGGCGCTACGTCCGGCCACT